GACTGTGTAAGTTATGCAGTCCTGCATTAAGACTTTTTTCCCCAATTCTTTACTAATTTTCTAATTTTAGAGCATTTTTTATTAATGCACAGAAGTCAATTCTGTATTGCATGAACATCTTTCTCATTAGAACTAAACTAGTTGTTTTCATCCACCTTCAAAGACAACCCCTCTGAATCGGTATGTTTGCTTTAAACATGAAACCACAGGCCAAGTTTGATTTCTCATTTACCACTTCTTCACCTGAATTGTCAGTTTTGGTTTTGCTCTGAACTGAGGGTAAAAGATAGGGCATCTCATGAAATCACTGTCTCTAGGCAAGGTTGGTGTGGAGTTATTAACTTTGGTTTTCATACCTTTTTTAGTTTGTCATTTGAAAATAAATTGAAATTGAAATACTGCTCAAGATATGTGCTTGTGTTTCAATAACCTCTTGAGCCTAAAAATCTTTAAGGACAATAAAAGTATTTTCATTTGGTGATGCCAATGTAGACATTTCTTTAAGGAATATATTTCCTAAATATATAACTATATAAATTTATAACTATATTTAGGAAATAATACAAAGCACTTTGTGGTTGCTGCTAATTACATGTTTTTCACTTCGAAGTTTTTAAGACAGATATAGGAACAAGTCAACTCAATAAATATTTATTAGGTGAATGAATTTAGAAAAGTCTCTCGGCTTGGAAAAATGTATATGAAATCCCGGTAATTATCGTTATTATAGTTTTCTCTTGGGCTGAATACAGATAATCAACTTTTCCTGTATTACTGGATCACTTCTTGATATAGTTCTTCAAGAAACTATAGTTCTACTACATATAACTATATTTAGGAAATAACCATATCAGAAATGACAGTTATATGAATGAAGTGACTTTCATATGAACTAAATATGGGCTTTTCCCTAAACACTGGGAAAGCCCAAAGAAAGTTATCTGACTTGTGATTTTCTTTTTATATATCAAGCTCTTCTTGGATGCCAGAATTGCACTGTTCGATTCAAGAAATAAGTTAACTATGCTGATTGTAAACTCCATAAGGAAACAAGTCCTACTTCTCTACCTAGATCCTACAGAGTCTAATAAAGTGCCATATACATAGTAGTTGACTATGGAGCCTGCTGTTTGTTCAATTTTTAATAGGGAATTCTAATCCATTTTTATTTCTAATGTAATGGCTGACATATTTATACTTCTATATATCATTTTGTGTTTTCTATTTACTGTGTTTTTATACTACTTTATTTTCTCCTTGCTTGTATTCTGTCTGATCGATGTAAAATAGCCATATTCAACTCAAGTACTCTAGACTGAATATTAGCAACAAAATTCAATACATGCTTATAAGCTGCTTGCATACCTTGTGTTTGTGTATTTGCGTGAGCCCGCGTGCTCTAGAGTGGGAGAAATAAAAAGGTTATATCAGTGCATGACCGTAATATGCCTGCCTCAGAATCCATCAGTTACAATAAGGAGATTTAACCAACTCGTGGCTGTCATGAAGAGCTCTGGGAGCACAATGGTTAAGCACTCAGTTACTAACCAAAAGTTTGGAGATTCGAACCCAGTGGGGCAGTTCTACTCTGAATTGACTCCACGGTAACGGTTTTGTTTTGTGGTTTTTGTTGTTGTTGTTTTTGATATGGCTGTCACAGTGCATTGTCTACTGTAGACACTTTGCATTCACAATTTGATGTTTGGGATTTTGACTATTTTGAAGGAATCCACAGGTATCATATTTTTACAAAAATAACGGTGTCTTCTAAGTTTGTTTGCCAACCACGCCCGCCTCCCCTACACCTCCGCAAGGCATTTTTGTAATTACGCTCTGCTAAGTTTTTTTTTTTTTTTTTGCAGCAACATGTAAAACAAAAATTAGCATAGTGGAGCTTTTGAAAACACCAGTTGCCGCTGAAGTCTATTCCAACTCATGGCGACCACATGGGGTGCCCCATGGGGTTTTCAATGGCTAATTTTTTGGAAGTATATTGCCAGGCTTTTCTTCTGTGGTGCATCTGAGTGGACTCGAACCTCCAACCTTTCAGTTAGAAGCCGAGCACGTTAACTGTTTGAGCCCAGGGACTCTACTCTCCTGCTTTTCCATCTGATGGCACTTGTCTCTCTAGCAGAGCTAGGGGCCATCATCTTGTCAGCAGTCTACACCAGTGGCTCTTTTAGAAGTAAAGTTGTAGTTCTTTTAGTATAGCTTGACTTTTGTGAATGAGCTCTGCAGGAAAACCAAATCTTACTGTTCTCTGTGGCACACATACTTGACAAGTCATTTCTTACTTCTGAGATCACTATGGAGAATAGAGAGATTTGAGGAGTAAAGATGAATCATAGAGGAAGATGTATTTCACTCACCTTACCATCATACTGTGCATTTCTGCATCTATTTAAAAATTATTAACGGCGACCCCAAGTACTATTCCACCCTCAGTCACGCACATAGTTTCCCTTGAGGACAGTCACTGTCACTTCTGTTCACCACAGAGGTGATTTTGACTCTTTAGAGTGGACACATTAAGGGAATCCCAGGAGTGTCAGGTTAGTTTTAATCTTCTCATTATGGTCCAAATGGAGTGAGTGTGTGTCTGCAACTGTGTGCACGTTGGGTATGTCTATTAATTAGTTATAAATTATCAGACATCTTACCCAGGGTTTAATGGGGGAGCTTTTCTGTGGTAAATTCAAGAAAAGTTACTTGAAAAATGCTTGGGAGATTATTATCCCTTTATATTTGTCATTAAAGTTCTGGCAGTAGCTTTGGACTATTTCAGCAAATGACAAATCTGCAGTGATTTCTTTAAATATTGACCTGGATTATTAAATTTTATTTTGTTTTTCTGACTTTGGATATAAGCAGCATGGCATGACTGTATTCAGATTGTATTCCAAACTAATTATCTGGAAATTCTTGGCAATATGTGTTAATTTATTCTATAAAAATAATAAAACCAAACCAGTTGTCCTCTAGTTGATTCCGACTCCATGAGTTGTTCTATAAAGGCATTAAATTACAACAAATTAGCCCTCAGGGTACTTTAATGTAGATATGGAAAATCTTGAAAATTTATAAATATATGTCTACATTTCTACATATATCTGTATCTACATATGTATATAAATAGAAATTGTTCATATTAAAAACTGGGAAATTATTGTTGTTTTAAAATTATTATTAAATTGCTGTTATTAAAATTAATAAACCATTTACTGCCATTATATTGTAAATTATATTTCATACCAGTGGAATATATGACATAACAACGTATCAACTTAGTCAAGTTATTAAATATTTCTCTGTCAGAGTTCTACCATCTCTAAAAGTATGTCGATCTTTCCGTGATTAGAACACTGAGTATAACATATACTAAGAATTTTTTAAAGCATAAAATTACCATATCGATTTTAAATATTACAAAGTCCAACAATATAATTTTTTTATATGCTATTTTAAATATCCCCAGCAAAAACTAAAGGGATAAAAGGGTAAAACAGAAGTAAGATCAATTCTTTACTAAATGAGAGTGACCAAGTATCATTTGACATTCTCGTTTGGGCATTTTTAAGCAACATTCAATAATTAATCATTGAAATTCAATTGCTTTATCTGGTAACTTTTCTACTTATATTTATTTGTATTTATTAATCTTACAATCTCCTTAAGAATTCTACAGATAAACATATTACCAGCTTAAGGTATGAAAAGATTAAAATGACTTGCTCAATGGTTCAACATTAAGGATAAAGCTAGAATTAATAACCCAGGTGTTATCATTTCTCAACAAATACCTTAGCTGATTTAGCTATTTTTTTAAAAAGGTTGAATTTCTCAAAGACAATGGCTTATGTGATTGGTAATAATGCTTTTCTTGATTTGTTTTAAGGAAGTGCATGTCTTCTATCTTCTGTTTTTTGTTTTTGTTTTAATGCTTGAAAATCTATTCAATTGTTTTGAATTTAGTTTTGAAGTTTTCCAAGACACATTATTTGTTATGATTTACACAGTCTCTAGCCACAGTAATTTATTAATATGCTGTTAGAGTATTAGTATCAATATGTTGCTAGATATGTTTTATAATACAGAAAAATACTTACAATACATAAGGAAATTATATTTTTAATTAGTAAATGATTAAGAGAAATTATCCAATTTATAAAACCAAAAGCTATATTTTCAACTTCTAAATAGGTTACAAGATGTTCAATATTTGAGATTTCTCTTAATGTGAAATTAATGCAATTTAATTACTTAGCTCTGAAAAGAATCTAAGTTTTCTCTGATTCTCAAACCTAATATTTAGAAGTAAAATGATAATTTATTTCAGCCAACAGTGGGGGAAAATACATAACCTATTTCTCTTGAATCAAAACATGTTTATAAAAGCATGTTTGGTAATACAAAGCCTTTTGTGGTTGCTGCTAATGACATGCTTTTCACTTCAAAGTTTTTAAGAGAGATGTAGATACAAGACAACTCAATAAATATTTATTAGGTGAAGGAATTTGGAAAGGTCTCTAGGCTTGGAAAAATGTATATGAAATCCCAGTAATATTTTCAATATAGTTTTCTCTTGGGCTGAATATAGATAATCAACTGTTCGTGTATTACTGGATCACTTCTTGAAATTATATACACAGAACAAATGATACTATAGGGAATGGTAGCATTAGCATTTTAATTAAAATACACAATGGTAATTCTGCATGAGGGTGGAACTAAACACTTGATGGCCTCCAGTTAGGTTAGTAGTAACATTTCCATTTGATGAGTAGTTAAATGAGTAATTAAAAACATGTAATTAAAGTGAAGTCATATCCTAATTTATAAAGGCAATGAAAACAAAAGAGCAGAGTAAAACCCCATTAAAAAGTAGTTAGCACACTATTAAAATACATTTCAACCAACATTTCTTACAAGGCAAATAAAGGTCAAATATTGCCTTCTGCTTTCTGGTTACAACGTTCTAGAATATTAGGCAGTAGAATGAGTGCCAAAACATAAGCTCAGTACAAAATGATTTTATCCCCATGAGCTTTTTGCTAGTCCAAAGTATTGTGAATGAGCATCGGATGAAAGACATTATTGGAAGATGATGAAGAATCCCCATACAAGGCTTTAAAGATTAAAGCCAGATCTTTCTTAGTTACTCAGGAACAATTAATTACAGAGAACAAGTATATTATATTTTTTGCTACCTGCGTTGACACCACACTTCTCATTTGACGAAAGTAAGCAGAATCCTTTAAATGTTGTTTGATTTGAAACCCAGTGTGAAAGGTGATGTGGCTCAAGGTACCAGGTTCTTGAGAAAAAGGCCTGAATGTGTACTGACATTCATGAAGAAAGCAACTGATCCAAGCAGGGGTGTTTACGAGTTCAAGGACAGATATGAGTTGTATTTTGCTTCATGAACTTGATTGAAAAAGGCCACTCAGCTGAAAAAACTGCACATAGCCTAATTATATCTACAAACACAGGGGCTTCTGAGTCCTCTCTTTAAAAAACTAACTCTTTGTCTTGTTTATGAAACAATACGAATCCCATCATCAATACTTTTCTTCTTCCTTTGTTGCTGACAAAATAACTCCCCAACCCACCAAAAGAGCTTGAAATTTCACAGCCCCTTTCAGAGTGACACGGATCTCTTCCTTCTTCTGGCAAAATCCTCTGCATGAACGAAGTTGGAGAGAACTTTAGTGAGGTGACTATCTGACGTCTCAGTGCTGCTCCCAAAGTCGTTATTCTTTAGGCAAGGACACAAGCATCGCACAATGGCCCGGCGGATGTAGCTGTCAAAGACATAGTAAATGAAAGGGTTGACACAGCTGTTGGTAAATGCCAGGGGCCCACTCACCTCCATGCCCAGCTGGAGAATGGCTGAAGAAACGTAGAGTTCTTGCTGCAATCCAGAGACAATGGCCAGAAGCTTGAAAGTATTAAAGGGCAGCCAGGAGCAGACAAAGGCTGTCACTACAATAAAGATAACCTTCATGGATTTCCTCAGCTTTTTGTTATGCTTTCCTGACTGATGGTAATGGGTACACAGTTTCCTTGTAATGCAACAGTAGCAGGTCACAATGCTCAGCAAGGGGGCAAAAAAAGTGAAAATTAAGACCACCAGGGACCAGGCCAGTTTAACTGAAGTGGACCTCTTTTCTGCACAGTATGGCTTATCATCAATCAGGGTGAGCTCCCTGGACAGAAGAGTAGGCAACCCCAGGAGGCAGGAGACAAACCAGATGCCGGCACAGACTCCATACGCACAGTCTCTCCTTCTGAATTTCCTGGATACTGTGGGGCACATGATGGCCAGGTAGCGGTCAACGCTCATGCAGGTGAGCAAGAGGACACTGCAGTGCATGTTGACTGAGATCATGTAGGAGCTGCCCTTGCACAGGAAAGAGCCTGTCCTCCACAGTCCTAAGGATGCTTCTTTATCCACCCAGAGAGGCAGCGTGACAAGGAAAATGAAGTCAGAGGCAGCCAGGTTGATGATAAAGATGTCAATCAGTCTTCTGCTGCCCTGTTTGAAATGCAACACACCCATGAGGACGAGGTTCCCCAACACTCCAGTCAGGAACACAACCGTATAAAAGACGGGAAGAAAGACAGATGTGTAAGAAACATAGGTCTCCTCATTATCAGGAATTTGGCTTGTTGCATAGGAGTAATCCAAATAAGCAGAGGTTGCATCTGGGTCCATCACTAAAGAGCAAAGGCCAAATCTGGTAAGTTTCCTTACCTATGAGGTTTTTGTACGGATTTTACAAATCTCAAGGCGGCTTCTTTTATATAGTGCCTTTCTCTTGTTCTCTCTCTTCTCGGCACAATCACAAAAACATAGATTTAAAAAAGCAGTTTCTACCATCCTCAGGAAGAGCCCATAAGGAGCACCACTCTGATTGGTGTAGGTTGGTTGTGGTTGTGGTTGTCTTTATTTGCATTTGCCCATGAAACTGAGGTGCTTTTCAACTTCTTTCTTCAAGATATTCAATTTGTGTTCTTTAAGTCCAAAAATCAGGAAATTGACTTTTTTTTTTTCCTTCTCTTACCTACTTTAAAGACACCTTTTGTTTTTCTAATACCTAGAATTTCTTTGATATAGCCTTCTGTTTCACATTTAGGGTGCTGTTTTACTTTCAGAATTGTAAGGTATAGTGATGAACATACTCTTTATTTATATCTCTGGTGAAAATATAAAGAAAGCTGATCTTTCATTGCATAAAGAGTGGATGGAAAGCTTCCCAAAACATACCAGTTCACATCTATAACAAACATAAAGATTCCAATTAGGGCATGAGATTATTCCCATTTACTTGGCTCTTTCTGTTCATACACAATCAACCCTGCCTCATTCAATATATTTTTTGAAATCCTTAAAAGGCTGGGACTACATCTTGTGCTTTTATTTTTATTTTTTTAGACTTCTCATTACACCTAGGGCAATACCTTGCACATAGTAAGTTCTTTGGAAATGTCAGTTTATTTGATTTGATCCAGAAAACTCTTGTTTTTCTGATCCAGTGTAATTCAGCAGGGATGAATTCAGTAGGGTTTAACTGCAGGTATCCTTGTTATTTCTGTAGCTTACAAACACAGGTTTAAAAATCACAAACTTTGCTATTTTTGCCCTCATACTCACTATTGTAATTTGACCAATTAATTTTCCTTTTGATATGAGTTAACATCCTTGATTAGAAGATTTTCCCCTGGTTGTTATTGTTGATAGGTGCCATAGAGTTGGCTCTGACTCATAGCAATCTTAAACATACAACAGAACAAAATGTTCCCACCATCCTCAAAATCGTTGCTATGTTTGAGCCCACTGTTGCAGCCACTGTGTCAATCTCATCGAGATTCTCCTTTTTCACTGATCCTCTGTTTTACCAAGCATGATGTCCTTTTCCAGTGATTGGATCCTCCTGATGACATGTCCAAAGTAAGTGAGATGAAGTCTCATCATTCCCGCTTCTAAGGGGCGTTCTGATTGTACTTCCTCCAAAACTGATTTGTTCATTCTTCTTTCTGGCAGTCCAGGGTATATTCAATATTCTTCATGAACACCATAATCCAAATGTGTCATTTCTTCTTCAGTCTTTTTTATTATCCAGCTTTGGCATGCATATGAGATTGAAAAGACCGGGGCATGGGTCAGGTACACCTTAGTAATCAAAGTGATATCTTGCTTTTTAAAATTTTAAAGGTCTTTTGCCACAGATTTTCTCAATGCAACACATCATTTCATTTCTTGACTGCTGCTTTCATGGGTGTTGATACAAGTATAATGAAATCCTTGACAACTTCAGTTTCTTCACCATTTATCATGATATTATTTATGGGTCCAGTTGTGAGGAGTTCTGTTTTCTTCACATTCATGTGTAATCCATACGGAAGACTGAAGTCTTTTACTTTCATCAGTAAGTGCTTCAAGTCAGCTTCATTTTTGGCAAGCAAGATTGTGTCATCTGCATGTCACAGGTTGTTAATAAGTCATTAGGAAATATTCCCCTATGAATCCCCAAATAGTTATCCTTCTAAATTCCATCTGATCTTTCTTTCTTCACACTTCACTTTTTAGCTTTTGACCCATGATTTTTGTTTGTTTAAGTATCTCCACACATCTGTGAACTTTGAACTGGCAGCAGACATACCTGTATTAAATGATGTCATAACGAAGTTGCCAATTCAGGCACTATAAAAGGAAGATTTTTGGTCCAACCAAAACATTAAGAAAAAACCTAAAATAGAATTCTATTATATTTTTCTCTCATATGCTTCCTTTTTACAGTAGGAAGAACATAGTAAAATATGACTAATTTTGAAACTGACTTCTTCAGTTATTTCAGTTCTTTATTGGCAGAAGTAGGTCGAGGCTTTCTCTCTCTCTCTCCTTCTTTCCTTCCCTCCCTCTCATTTAATCGCTGAAATTGTAGTTTCAGTAGATATTACTATTGCATAGGAACAATGTAAGCTTGTAGATGAAAATAAAATTGTTAAACATATGAAGTCCTTGCTGCTGTTTTAATTTCTTTTGTAATTAATACATTAAGAAGAATGATGCAGCCTTCTCTACTCCCTCCTTCTTCTTCCTGATGTGGTCTGATGTCACCTTAGTCTCAGGCATATGGGTCCCAGGTCATGGAAGGATGAGGGTTCCCCTGATCTTGGGCAGCTCCAGGAAGTCACTCCAGGGTTTGATTTAGGGGTCTAGGCCTGTCTTCCTCTAGGCCCCTGCTGCTCTCTGCTATTCATTTACTTTCTTGGGTGGCACCGAAAAGAAAAAAACAAACAAACCAAACCCACTGCTGTCAAGTCAATTCCAACTCATAGTGACCCTACAGGACAGAGTAGAACTGCTCCACAGGGTTTCCAAGGAGCGCCTGGTGGATTCAAACTGCTGACCTTTTGGTTAGCAGCCAAATGCGCCACCAGGGTTTCCTATACAGGCTGCAGGTGAGAGAAACTAATTAACAGATTTGACATTTCTGGGATAGAAATCTATCCCATTGGGTAAGCCTTAAATATTTAATAGAAAGATTCATTTTGTCAAATAGTTTGAAGTTGGACAATATTTATTTGAAAAGGATTAATGGGGTAAACAGAGTATTTAAATACTATGTATTTGTGTGTGTGTATACATATATGTATATACATGAATGATTGGTATTTTAATTGTAATATTATAATTTTTTACCCTGCAACTGGAAGCTGATTTGGCATTTGAGAAAATAAGATTGATTCTGGATCCAAAATAAAAAAATAAACAAACTTTAGATATGACCATAAGAATTTTATAAAATGGAAAAGAGTTCATGCTCACACTCTAGAGGAAAACATTTGGTCATATATTTATGCTATAGACCTCAAATTTTCTTTCAACATTCAAGTTGCAAACCAGTGATGTAAACTATCCCAAATAAATCCGACTTCTTCAGCAAACTGTTGAAGCAGCTGTAGACAAAATGGTTTGCTTTATCATATATGGTCACTTTGGAATATGATACTCGTGGTAGAATGCTGCAATATGAGACTATCCATCATAGATCAGTAGCATCTTGGAGCACAATTTAGAAAAAATACAATTAAATGTCTGAGCCAAAAAAGGAACAAATAGCACATAGTACTGTACTGGGCTTTTAATAACTCAAAGGGCACAATGCTATCAGAAGAATCAACTTACAATAAAAGCTGACTAGATAAAAGTAGCAACGGTCATAGCACTACGTAAGCTGGGTGCAACAGTCATTTTTAGAACTTTGACTCCTTGAAATAAACATGGAGATACCATCAATAAAATAACCAACTACACATATCAAAAAGGAGTATAAACAAGGTGATAACAAAAAAAGGAATAAGATAGATATTAAAAATCTAATTACAGCCCAAATGCTACCTCTTCAGTAATACTCTTCCTCCAAAAAAACCCCTATTCTGTGTTCCAATTCCAGAGGTATCTTCAGAACTGGATTAGATGCTGAGGATGGTGAGACAATGAGGTTTTGTCCACTAAAACATCTGCTCAAATGAATCCATTATCATCCATTATATGGCTGTAGCTATGGTTTGCAACGTCTTTGCTTCACAGGCTGGGTGAGGCTTTTGTTGGAATACAGCCACCCCAATTAGGTTGTGACCCTGGCATTATCATGTATCACCTCTGCTTTTTTGATATCAACCACCCTGGCCCCATGTCAGGTGGGGATACATCAGACTATGTAGCATAGCAAAGAGAAATCCCTGAGTATGGCCTTCTGTTCATATATGCCCTGCTGATAAGGCCCCCAAATAAATGGCAAAGAGCATGATGCAAACTGTTTCTTATTAATCTTATCAGTCAGACACAGTGTGATCATATATTTGTTAGAAAGTTACACTCTCTTGTCCATTTTTTACTTAAGTACCATAAAGTGTAGGTCCCCGGGTGCTGCATGTGGTTTGTGCTCAAGTATTACTCTAAAGGTTAGTGGTTGGAACCCACCCAGTAGTACCACAGGAAAAAGGGCCTGGTGTTCTGCTTCCATAAAGATTACAGACAAGAAAACTCTACTGAGTAATTCTACTCTGTAATACATGGAGTCGCCATGAGTTGGTATCGACTCAACAGCAGTGGGTTTTACTATAAAGTGTATAAATAGTTAAAATAGTCCTGTTTAAGAGAGCTGGTTTATACTCTAGGAGTTCGACGATTTTTTTTTTTTTAATTTTAAAGTTGCTTGGAGAGCTTAGTGCAGAATAATGCATTATTTTATAATGCCAAATTGTAGTTTGTGATCAGCTGCTAACCTAAAGGTTGGGGTTCAAACCCACCCAAAAGCTACATGGAGGAAAGGCCTGGCAAACTGCTTCCATAAAGATTACAGCCAAGAAAGCCCTATAGAGCAGCCCTACTCTATAACACGTGGGGTCGCCATGAGTCGGAATTGACTTGACAGCAATTTTTTTTTAAATTATTTCCTGTTACCAGGGTTTTTTCCTCCATCTCATTTTCTGGATCATCTCCCCTGCTATCTAGACAACAGTGATTTAACTATTCTAAAACCTCATTGCCATCGAGTCAATTCCAACTCATAACTATTCTAGGCATACATATATACTTTTGGCTTCTTCATAATAGTAGATTTTATCTGGATTTAGGTCGTGTATAGCAAAAGCTGTGTATCCCTGTGCATTTTCGTATCCAGGGCACCCAGCACAGTGTCTGGCATGCAATAGATGGTTGGTAAATGTTTGTAGACTTGGACTGGATAATGCTTGAATTTTGAGTCACTTCCGACGAATAAAGACATTTCACAAACTTCTTAGACAGCTCCCATTTTCTATTCAATCCTGGAACCTTCATCATGTCACCTCTGGTGGTGCACTGTTTAAGAGCTTGGCTGCTAAACAAAAGGTCAGCAGTTGGAATCCACTATAGGGCAGTTCTACTCTGTCCTATAGGGTGACAATGTGACTATGAGTCAGAAATGACTCAACATATCGACACGACAGCAATGAGTTTTGCAGCCCTGCTTGCGCAGTGGTTAAGCATTCAGCTGCTAACCAAAAGGTCAGCAGTTTGAATCCAGCAGCTGCTCCTTGGAAACCCTATAGGATGGTTCTACTCTGTCCTATAGGGTCACTATGAGTCAGAATCGATTCAAAGGCAATGGGTTTGGTTTGGTTTTGATTTTCTAAGTTAGTACAGCATATTTTTTTTAGCTAACCCTTATAAACCTTTTCACTTAGCACTTCTTCATAAATGAAAAACAACTGGCAAACCAGTAAATGTAAAAATACTACTACCATAGCCTCATAATAGAAGTGGTGGATTGTGATGCCAATTAATTTATTATAGTAGTTCCTTATCTGCAATAAAGATTTACTTTTGAAAAGATTTTGTCTGGAAGGCCAAAATTCATATCTATAATTCTACACTAATAAATGATAATTAGAAGAAACCAAGAAAATATTCCCTTCCATAATTTTCACCTTCCCCACGGTTACTGTGCATCTTTGAAACAGCAAGGGCTGTGTTGCTGTATCTTCTCTAATCAGAATGTGTTACCTTCCTCCTTTTCTTTATCCATTTGCATTGCCTGCTACTCCTGTCTTCTTGTGCATCGTTCAGGCTAGAAGTGTAGGCAACTCTAACCTGATGAATCTATGACAACTACATTTTAAAACCCAAACCAAACTTGTTGCCATTGAGTCAATTCTGACTCATAGCAACACTATAGGACAGAGTAGAACTGCCCCATAGGGTTTCCAAGGCTGTAATTTATGGAAGCAAACTGCCACATCTTTCTTCCGCAGAGTGGCTGGTGGGTTTGAACTGCCAAACTTTTGGTTAGCAAATGAGTGCTTAACCACTGTGCCATCAGGGCTCCTTAACTATATTTTAAAGTTGCATTATTCTTTTTCCAAGAAAACTATGAATCATAAAATTTTAGAGCTTTAAATGATATTAGTGATCATCTAATATAACCATTTTACAAAGGCATTGATTGAAGCCCAGAAAGGGGTAGCTTACCAAAGGACTCACATTAAAACCAAATAACCAAACCAGTTGCCCTTGAGTCAATTCCAACTCATGGCGACCCCATGTATTGCAGAGTAGAACCGCATGTTGCAAAGTAGAACTGTGTTCCATAGGGTTTTCAAGGCTGTGACCTTCCAAAATCAGATTGCAGGCCTTTCTTCCAAGGTGCCTATTGGTGGGTTTGAAACACCAACCTTTCAGTTAGTAGTTGAGCGCTTAATCACCTGTGCCACCCAGGGACTCCTGGATTCACATTAGTGATTTTAAAATAAAGTATATTTTAAATTTAAATTTTTCATCTATGAATAGGCCGTTCACAGTTCTGCAGAAGCATGCTCATCTAAACAACTATAGTTCTATGTGGCACTTTCCAGGAATTGCTAAAAGAAAAGAGCCATTTTTAGATGCACTTTTTAGTTTGCTTTGCCCTTGATTGATTTTTTGCCATTGCTCTATAGGGAATGGGCGCAAGAAAATCCAAAGACTGATATATCTTTCAAAGGTGACTGTTGGTTGTATCCGAGAGCTTGCATAAATTTCACCTTTCCTGCTTTCTGCTTGCCAAAGATCGTAAGGAAGCTAACCAGAACAAACCTATGTGAGAAAAATAGAATATAAATATATCTTGCTTAATGGTGGAGCAGTGATTAAGACGTCAGGCTGCTAACCAAAAAGGTCAGCAGTTCAAATCCACCAGCTGCTCCTTGGAATCCCAATGGGGCAGTTCTACTCTGTCCTATAGGGTCATTATGAGTCGGAATTGACTCAACAGCAATGGATATGGGTAACATGATTTTTAGTCCGTGAAAAACATGCAATCAAAAAATAAAATTATATTTAAGTATACAGTATTAGGATATTTGATATTGAAGAGAATTCTCATGTGAAGAGTTATTTTTAAGCACACAATATAAACAAATTATACTATCTAAATTTCCAGTTATTGGGTTTGTTTAAAGTGTGGTATAACTATCACACTTTCCTGCTGAAACTAGAACCATCCTTAAAAAATTAAACCAGAGGCTAGTTCAACTCTGCTTTTAAACCTAAATTTCCTAATCTGTATAAGATGGCACTGAGTCATCTTTAACATTTGTGAAAATATGTCAGGCCAGCTACTGTTTCCCAAACAACATTATAAGAAATGGAAATAGAAATTTAGCTCCATGAATTTGTTAAGGATTAATTTTAACCACCCAGACAGCAAACAAGCATAAATAGAAATTAGAAAACACCGAAGAGCATAAGTAAATCAGAAATACATCTGTGTGCCTGGTGGAAGCAGGTGTGATGAGGCCAGCTCCTCTGTGCTGAATGGGCCGGGATGGTCACGGTCTCAAACACACAGAGGAGCACTTCTAGATCCACACTAAATTGGTGAGTGAAATGTGTCCTAAGGGTTTTCTAGACATTTTCCAAACTTGACAGGCAAAGGCATCACCCTCCCTTATAACCCTCTCTAGGAACCTCCATCTCCTGAGTCATGATGACTTGCACATGATATGAGCCCAGGCCTGGGAATCTCTCCAACAGGGCTAAGCAAGGACACCTGAAACGCTGATGCTGGCAAGTCTTTCTTCTAATTAGATAGTTGATTCAGAGGTTTGGAAACCTGCTGAAATGAAATAAATGGGTTATTTCTAGCCTCCAGGGGAATCGGGAGTGTTGAAAAGCTGTTTATTTGTTAACCAAAGGAACCTGACTCAAACATTATAGGCATTCAACAAATATTTGCAAATACTAATAATTTAGTGACTATTTACTCTGCCTCAGGCCCTGTGCTGGGCGTTTTATATGTATTTTCTCATTTCAAATTCACAATGACCCCTTGGGATCGGAACTATTGCCAACATCCACATGCTGAAGACAAGAAAATTGAGACTTAAAGAGGTTAAGTAAATTGTCCAAAGTCACAAAGCTTGTAAATCACCTCAGTATTCAAGCTCGGTGAGTCAGTTATTCTCCACACGCCTTCGTTCCCTTATCTGTAAACTGAAGTGATTTATTTCTCTTCCTTTTTTGAACTTCCCTTTTATTAGGTTTGTTTGCTCATTTGATCTTGGTGGAGAAGTATACCCCAAGATAGGGGATAGTCTGGGTGCCCCCTCGTCTACTTTTGGATCCCTGGTGGCACAGTGGTTAAGAGCTTGGCTGCTAACCAAAAGTCTGGCAGTTCGAATCCACCAGCCGCTCCTTGGAAACTCTATGGGGCAGTTCTCCTCCTTGCTACGGGGTCGCTATGAGTCAGAACTGACTCGACAGCAACGTGTAATGAAGACCAATGGATGAAGGCATTCCCTGGTGCATAAATGAACTCAGGAGTACTATTTCACATTAACAATTTGCTTTGCGGTTCTAGTTGGTCCTTCTGATGGAAGCTCTTCTTTGATTAGATACTACATAGATGAACATCCAGAGTCATGTTTGAATAGTATGATATACTTGGCTATTGCCTTATTTATGTACCGGATATGAAAGTCAGTTCACCAACTCAGGTGCAAAAAATATAACGAGATTGAAAAATTGATAGATATTATACCTTCAATCTGTCAGGGTATGGAGTATGTAGGAATTTAATATTAGTTAATTTGGATTTCCCACTTTTCCCTTGTGCAGTAGCTAAATTCCAAGGCATCTGGAAGTTGGGTGGGCACTGAGGAGCCCCTCTAGTTTTTTGAGTCAGCTGTCTCTTTAAGTATCTACTGAGAAACCCATCACTTGCTGGTCCTGAGCCACATTTATGGCTCCACGTACAAGTCACTGGTAACATGCCCCAGCTTCCTGTCCATGAATTTCTGTGTAATACTGGAGGGATTAGAATCATTCTGTTTCCTCTTTCAACTATTGTTGTTAGCTGTCAAGTTGGCCCCCAACCCATGGCACACAATGGGATCAGACTCCCATGGCACACAATGGGTTTTCATAGGTTGCCAGGCCTTTCTTCCTAGCTATCTAAGTTGGGAAGCTCCACTGAAACCTGTTCAGCATCATAACAACACAAGTCTCTGCTGACCGATGGGTGGGGGATGCACATGAGGTGCATTGGCCCAGAAGGAACTAGGGTCTCCCGCATGAAACGTGAAAATTCTACCTTTTAACTAACACTACCCTCTCTAAAACCAATGGCCATGGAGTTGATTCTAATTAATGGCACTAGTCATCTGCAATCTCTGAGACTGTCCATGACCTTGTCTGCAATGTTCCCCGAACTTCAGTCTTTTCCATACTATATTCGTATTTTTTATTCGCATTTTGACATATCTGATACTCTTCAGTACTGTCATTAACTTAACATTTTTCTTTAATTAATTGAAATGTATTTTAAAAGTAAACTGACTATTACTACAGAAATTGGAAATCTAATATCACTGGCTATAAAGAGAAGGCAGCCACAAACACAAATTGTATGAAACTCAAATAATGCCATTATATTCTACTTGCCGGATAACATACCTCTTAGTCTAAACTCAAGCAATAAGACCAGAAAGGCTATCTGCTCCAATGGGAGTGGAGCTGTGGGCGGCTGGGAGGGGGGAGGCTAATATTTCAAAAGTATAACCTCCACATTTGTTTGCATCGTTATTCGTTTCTACTTATATTTAGAAGTAGGGTCGTGTGATGGGGAGAGCACAGGACTGAAAGTCAGATCTAAGTTACACAAGTCGCAATCACTAATCAGCTGTGACGGGAGACAAATCGCTTTACTCTCCGGACCTCACCCCTTCTTTGCAAAGTAAGAGTGCAGCAGCCCGCCATATCCCTCGCGCACGAACTTGCTTTCAGCAGCTGAACTACAACCTCCATAATGCGCCGCGCGCAGCACTGGAAATTCCATCCGTGGCCTCCCGCAGCTTTCCTTCCTTCCCGCCTACAACTCCCACATGCCCCCTCGGCCCCGGACCTGGGCTTGGCCCAGGGTGGAGGCGGAGGCGCGGGAGTTATAGAGGGGGCGGGCCCAGCAGGGAAGTGCGTCAGAGGAGGCGCGGGGAGAGTAGGGTGCTGTGGTCTGAGCTAGAGGGTGAAGCTGGCGGAGCAGGAGGATGGGCGGTGAGTGAGTGGGGCCGGCGGCGGCGGCGGCGGCGGCGGCGGGTGTCTCGTAGCCGCTGGACGGTCCCGGCGGTTTAATGAGGGGGCCCCCCTCCCCGCGCGCGGCCGTGCTTGGGCGGGGCTGCGGTGGGGGTTTTCCCTCGGCCGGGCGGTTTGGGAGGGGCCTGTTGGGATGCTCCGGGAGCCTGGTGGGATACTCGGGGCCTTTGGGCCTCTGGCCGGGTCCGCACAGGGCGGGTCCGCACAGGGCTGCCCCGCCCCAGCGCCGACGTGCGCCCTGCCTGTGACCGTGCCGAGCGCGTCCGCCTCCCGAGCTTCGGCCGGGCCAGCAGCCGCTCCTGGCGCGCGGACCTTTTAAGGTCGATAGAAAGCACCAGGATGAAAGAGTATTAAAAAAAATAATAGTAACACAAGCCTAACTTGTGGAGTTATTGTTAATTATTGTAATTGTCCTGATCTCTTCTGAGTCACTACCCATCTTCCAAACTCAGCCATCTCAGTTTGCGAGCCTGTTTTCGTGCGCCTTGGTAACGTGTGTTGTGCGCTCACGGTATATACTTGCAGTATTTGACTCAGCTTGATTCCGCCTTGAGTCATTTTCCTGCGGCCATTTACTATTGCCGTTGAGCCCTGTCCACGCCTTGGGAGTGTTCATATTTTGCCTAAGTCACAGTTTTCTGTGTGGGTGAGGAGGGATCAGTTGGGTTTTGTGGGCATATGGTGCACTTTAGGATTTAAAGAGCAAAGTTGCAGATAAAGAGGCTCTGAAGTATAAGGAATGGGGAGAGTAGATAGGAGTGAAGAATTTAGTATAAAGAAGCTTGGCTTCAATGGATTAGGGGAGATTGGTATCTAGCATTATCATATGTTATTGTTCTCTTTGCTATTCCATGTTTCTGGAACAACCTTTCTGTCCGGGTTTACCAAACATCTGCAACTCCTTAGAAATAGCTCCTGATCGTTAACCTTGTTTTAGAAGGCTTCTCAATTCCAAGATAACTGGGAGAAGCTGATTTCCACTGCTTCCTTTTCCTATGTCTTTTTCACACTCAAACCCAGAACAATTCATGTTCCGCAGCTTGTTAAAAATGCAGTCTGTAATTTATAATTTGTGCACGGTACACTGCTGACTGTGGGCTTGTCTGTTGTTTGTCTCTGTAATGTGTATGTCCATTTCAGTGTTGTCTGTTTTAGTATGCAGGTGATAGACTAGAGAACAAGACCTCTGTCTCGGTAGCGTCCTGGGTATGTGAGCATTCAATAAGTACTTTCATGATAATGAGTTTTGTTTTAAACTTAATTGAGAACATGCTTACCTTTTTTTTTTTTTTAAATTCCTTAATAATTTGATTTTACATCACTTTAAATAGTCACGGGGTGGGGAATAGGGTAAAGGATGATTTTGAGAAAATGCCTTTCAAAATAACATTTATTTATCCTTGAAGTCTTACTCCTGTTATTTTCTTCTTCACTTTTTAAACAGAGCAGTCTGAATGCCAGAATGGATAACCGATTTGCTACAGCGTTTGTAATTGCTTGTGTGCTTAGCCTCATTTCCACCATCTACATGGCAGCCTCCATTGGCACAGACTTCTGGTATGAATATCGAAGTCCAGTTCAAGAAAATTCCAGTGAATTGAACAAAAGTATCTGGGATGACTTCGTTAGTGATGAGGCAGATGAAAAGACTTACAACGATGCACTTTTTCGATATAATGGCACAGTGGGATTGTGGAGACGGTGTATTACCATACCCAAAAACACACACTGGTATAGCCCACCAGAAAGGACAGGTATTCCTCTTATTTTAACTTCTCTCTCCTTTACCTACTCCATAAAAGACAAAGTGACGTGATGATTGCTCAGTTACGTATAAGCAGGTTTGTGGGTTCCCTCCTTTAATGAAAAATAATTCTTACGTTTCTTTCATCTCTGCTTACCACCTTCCTCTGCCAAATAATATGAATTGCCATGGTACTCAGTATTGGTTGGATGAGGAATTCGCCATATCTTGGGAAAACCATTTTAAATCTTTGTGTTTATTTATTACTCATTAAAGTAATTTTTAGTAAGTTTACACGTCATGGGGAAATAGACAAGTACATTGGAAGAATGCATTAAGTAACTGGAAAAAGGAGTAGTATCCAAAATCAAGTCAGCAAATGCAAAATAGTCCCTTTATGGGCTTGCTGTATTACCATAGATATTTATTATTTGCCCTCTGAATCATAGAAGATAATAATTTGATCAACTCTATGTGTGTGTGTTTGAGACTATTTTGCAACAATATGATAGAGCGTGTCGATTAAAAAATATGCATTGCAGAAGAAAAAGTAAGAAGTTATCTCTCGGGTTTATTTTGCAAGCATTCTTACCAGCATTTAAATTTTTAATTTCCAGTTATTAAAATGGAAGTTTTTTTCTGTAAGGAGCAACTTTACAGTTGTTTTTATTTATGACTACTTCTCTTGGCCTTTTAGTGGGGAAGCAATGTGTTCAAATCACAGGGGAGCAGATTAGTTGACACATCAGTAGGATGATAGTTGTGATTATATGTGGAAAAAAAGGCATTAGTTCGAGAAGAAAGGAGTTAAAAGTGGTTACAATTACTGTAAAATGTTCAATTCTGGTTATGAGCGCACAGGGGCACTTGATTTTGGAATCTTACCAATCATTTATTTAACAATGGATTGGATGCCTCCATGGTCTTAGGACCTAGGAGTTCATCAGGGAAGAAAACAAACAAAATCCTTATTCTTGGGGAGCTAGCATTCTAATAAGGGATGACAGGCAATAAGTAGAACAAATAAGTAAATTATATAGTATGTTAGAAGATGATCTTTGCTATGGAAAAATAAAGCCAAATAAAGGGGATTTGTAAATCATGGGGAAGGGAATGTTGGCTGGCCTAGGTTATGATTTTAGATAAGATAGTCAGGATAGGCCTCACTGAGAAGACACCATTTGAGTAAAGACTTGATGTAGGTGAAGGAACTGGCTATATGAGTAACTGGGGAGAACTCATTTAGATTGGAGGGAACAGCTTTTGCAAGGGCTCTATGGTGGGAGCATGCCTGAAATGTTCAGGCATCAGCAAGGAAGCTACTGGGTTGGAATGGAGGGAGAGTGAGATGTGCTGTAAAGAGACATACTCTGGGGGGTGGGAGCAGGGTAAATCACTCAGGGCTCTGTAGCCCATGGTGTGGATTTTGGCTTTTACTCTGAGTGTGATGGAGAACCTTTGGGGTCTTTGAGCAGAGAAGAGATGTCATCAATCACTCTTCCTGATATATTGACAATAGATAGGCAGTGAGTAAGGATGGAAGCCAGGAGACTGTTAGGAGGCTATTGTAGTAATTCAGGCAAGAGGTGATTGTGACTCAGATGAGGATGGTAGCACTGAGCAGTGGTTGGATTTTGGATGTATTTTGAAGGTAGAGCCTCCTGGATTTCCTGAATTAAGTGTATGTTGGCAAGGATAACTCTAAAGTTGCTGATCTGAGGTAGAATTGCCATTACATAGGGTCACTATGAGTCGGAATCAACTCGATGGCAACAGGTTTTAATATAAGGAAAAGGAACCCTGGTGGCTCAGTGATTAAAGTGTTCAGCTGCCAATCAAAAGGTCAGTGGTTCAACCCATCAACCACTCCGAGGGAGAAAAACGTGGCAGTCTACTTCCCTAAAGATTTACATCCTTGGAAACCCTATGGGGCAATTCTCTATCCTATAGTGTCAGTATGAGTCGGAAACAGCTTGATGGCAATGTGTTTGGTTTGTTTTTTGTTTTTTAATATGAGGAAGACTGCTGGTGAAGTAGTTTGGGGGAGATCAAAGTTCCTATTTATTTCAGTCTTTGTCCCTTCTCCCTTCTTTCTAGTCTTCCTTACAGATCTATTCTCTCCATCCTTTCACTACTCGTACTTTTTTTTTCTTCGTTGTTCCTATGTCTTCACCCTGCCACTGAGAACCACACCTTCCGCTGGTCATTGATGAGTCCTGTGTATCACTTTGGGCCAAAGAGGTTGCTTACTGTCCTGGGAACATCTTTCTTACAATCACTTTTTTACTTGAGAGAAGTAAACTGTTAAAGAGATTATTGTTAAATGTGTATAATTAAAACAACAAGCAATCATTGTTCTTGTTGCAGAGTCATTTGATGTGGTCACAAAATGCATGAGTTTCACGCTAAATGAGCAGTTCATGGAGAAATTTGTTGATCCAGGAAACCACAATAGTGGGATTGATCTACTTCGGACCTGTGAGTACTTTGATCTCAGCGGGAAAATTGGGGGAGGTGGGTGGGGAGGAAACCATTTTATTTGCCTTGTATTGAACTCTGTTTTTGGAACAAGGTGAGTTAGTAGATTATGTCAGCTTGAAATAAGATCTCTAACATTATCCTAATATCCAACTGCGCTCTGACCTGTTGATAACATATTTTAGAATTATAGCTACATACTTAACCAAATTGCAAATTGAATGAAGTTGAGGGAGGCAGCTAGTACATTGGATAACAGAATTCAGCCCCCCAAAAGATGTCACTGATGGGCCTATCTTATTAAGAGAAAATTCAATCCGGATAAATAATAAATTACTGTATATGAGTTAAACACTTCAGCTACCTAAGTTCTGATAGGAATGTGTGAAACACTTGACTGCAAGTTCTGTATGAGTCAGCTGAGTGTCAGGCCTGTCAAATGAGTTAATCCAGTCTTGGTGGTAGTAACTGAAGTGTAGATGTCAAAAACAAATGAAAATATTTATTAGGAGCATCTGTTCCTCAATGGCCAGGCTATCCATGAAGTACTGTCTTCACCTTTGAGCCTCAGTCTTTAAGCTCTAGAAACTCACTGGAACTTGCCTGGAAGAATGGCCTTGTCCTCAGAGGACCCATTGAATAAACAGCAGGAATTCAATTTCGCAATGCAAATGCATAGGAAGAAGTTCATTAGTGACAGGGTTTGAAGGGAAGTTAATTAGAAACAAGACTTTTATGCCATTCCAGAAAGTAAAACCAGCAATAAAAGGTAGGTATTAGGATTGGTATTAATACATTGCTAATAATTAACTGAAAATGGGGTGGTATGCTTTATAAAGTCATCAGCTTTCTTTGTATGTTGTTGAGGGAATTTATGATAAATGAAACTGCTGTTTATTGGGTGCTTGATAGATGCCAGATCCTGTACTTTGTGATTTATGTATGTTAGTCTTTCCACAGCCCTGCAAGGCAGTAATTTATAATCACCATACATTTACTTGTTATTCCAACCTTGAGATTCTGTAAGGATTTAGCGGTTGTTTGTGTGTAGAGCCAGGCTGTTTTACTTCTAATCCTGGCTCTTTACCTTATACAAGTTATTTATCCCTCTTCCCTCAGTTTCCTTATTTATGAAATGGAGGTAATAATAGTACTGACTTCATAAGGTTGGAGCCCTAGTGGCACAGTGGTTATGAGCTACAGCTGCTAACCAAGGTCAGCAGTTTGAATCCAGCAGCCACTCCTTGGGAACCCTATGGGACAGTTGTACTCTCCCATAGAGTCGCTATGAGTCAGCATCAACTCGATGGCAATGGGTTTTGGTTTTTGATTCATAAGGTTGTTGGGAGGATTAGTAGGTACACAGAATGTGTAGAACAGTGCCTGACACATGTTAAGAAATCACTAATTATTAGCTGTTAGTGTCCTTTTTACTTTTATCTCAGGACAAAGCATCCTTTTGAACAGTGCATTTTGGAAAAGAAGCCTCAATGTTAAGATACTAATTAGAATATGAAGGAAATTACCCTTTTGGGAAAACTGCCTGAAATCATGATAACATTTCTTTTTCTTTCCCCTTTTTTAAATCAGATCTTTGGCGTTGCCAGTTCCTTTTACCTTTTGTTAGTCTAGGTTTGATGTGCTTCGGGGCTTTGATCGGACTTTGTGCTTGTATCTGCCGAAGCTTATATCCCACCATTGCCACAGGCATTCTCCATCTCCTTGCAGGTGGGTCTTGTCACTGTACTTACCTTTTAGCTTCTTCCTGTCTCCTTAGGGACCAAAGAGTTACAATTTTTAAACATCCACATATTACTGCCTTGTTGCATTACCTGAAAAGCTCTTACTGTGTTTTTACCTAGTTGTGTTTTGTTTTGTTTTCTAAATCCCCCCTCCCCAAGGTCTGTGTACACTGGGCTCAGTAAGTTGTTACGTTGCTGGAATTGAACTACTCCACCAGAAACTAGGGCTGCCTGAGAATGTGTCGGGTGAATTTGGATGGTCCTTCTGCCTGGCTTGCGTCTCAGCTCCCTTGCAGTTCATGGCTTCTGCTCTCTTCATCTGGGCCGCTCACACCAACCGGAAAGAGTACACCTTAATGAAGGCATATCGCGTGGCGTGAGCAGGAGGCTGCGTACTCTGCAATTGCCATTTTTGTTATCTTTTACATAATATATTCCCTTGCCTTTGTCCTGATTGTTTTTAATTTTTTTCTGAATATACCATTTTATCCTGAAAATCCATTTTATTTATATAGAAATACACATAAATGCACAACACACATGCACACCTGCGTGCAGCTGTTTTTAAATACCACTAAAATTTATATCATTGACTTGGAAGGATTCCATCTTTCAAAACAATCTAGGTTCAGAGTCCAGAGAGAAAAAAATGGTTAGAGACTTAGCACACATTTGTGAAAGAAAATTGGTAGTGAGAAGCTGACCCAAAGGAAGTTCTGACTAATGTCTGTTAGACTTTTCAGTAATAGTAAAGTGTATCTGTTCAACTAGAAACTCTAGTTTCTTTGGAAAACTTCTTACTGTTGTCATGACTTCATGTTCATTCTGTTGTAGGTAGCTAGTCAGCCAGAGATTATTAGAGGTGTTTGCAAACACGTAAGCTATTTAAAGTAGGGAAATTATCTAAGATGCTTTTCCCTGAACATTGACATATAGCTTCATCTGAGGTGAAACATGGCAGCTGTTTATATCTAAACTGTCTGTGTCTGTCCACAAGAAAGAAAGTGAAAAATAGTGTTTACTTGAAGTTTTAATTTTGTAACTGAAATAATTCTAGTTCATTCAGAACAAGAGGGTTAATCTTTTGTTTTAACACTTCTAAATAAGTCAGTAGGATCTTCAGTACCACCAAACCATTTTAAATTTTTGTTCCTTTCCTCTTCACACAGCTTATTAAAAGAGTGCTTTCTTTTTAGCATTACATTGGGGTCACAGAGTAAAATCCCCCAACTGTTTCCTATTCCAGCTAACTACCATAAAGAATTTTCCACCATAATGACCCTCAGAGCTAGGAAAACAACCACAAGATCTAAAGCTTTGGCTAGTCGTTGACCTCCAATTCTGGTCTTTATTTCTTGTGGTGAAATGATGTGCCTTTCCTTGCCTAAATCCCTTCCTCGTGTATCTCAACATTATTTAATGTGTTCTAATTCAGTCATTTTTTTATAAATATGTCTATAAACATTGAAAATAAATATTTATTTATTCCATTACTATAGCACTTAGCAGATTTTAAAAAATGTAACTTAGTAATTTCTTACCACATCCTAAATCTGTCTTTTTTAAAAAATAAAATTTGAGAAAATACTTAATTGTGTTGAGTGTCTGGGTTTGTTTAAATCTCTTAACACCTTGAAGTACAGGATTCAGAATGAAGATCTCTCGTTCTCTGTGGAAAATTCATTGTTGCTTTACAGGCCTATCTTTATGTCTAGTGTTTGGGTCTTCGTTTTATCTTTCAGAAAACGTGGAACCTTTTTCCTCATTAGAAAATAGTAGAGGCCAAGATGGTGGAGTAGTCAGACACTTCCTGTGGTCCCTCTTACAACAGAGAACTGAAAAAAAAATCAATTATATATGACAATCTAGGAGCCCTGAACATCAAAGGCACAGTTGAGAATCCAACTGAGTGGCAGGGGGAGGGACAGATGGTTTGGAAGCAGTGAGGAGTTGCCAGACCTGAGCCGGCAGGAACCGGCAGCCATTTGGCCGGATCAGCTGGCATGTGCAGTGAGGAAAGAGTGGCGTTTGGGAGGTGTTTTCCACATCAGAAAAGACCAAGCAGCAGAGAGTACTTTGGCCTCCAGAGCTGGTGAAAAGCCGCACTCAATCAGCAAAAGGTAAGTACGTGCATCTGACCTATCACAGGGATCAAAAAACATCCCTTTTAGGAAAAACCTCTCTCCTATTTACCCGCCCCCTCCCTGCCCTGCACTGGGTCCCAGGCTGGTTTCATCAATTGCCAAGTCCCTTGGGCCAGTTGTAGGACCTGTCACGCACCCTGAGCCATTCTCCCGTCCTTGGAACAAATTAACAAACAGGAAAAGTAAAATCTATCAGCTCCCCTAAGCCGGGAACTCGGTAGTTCTCAGCTCCTTTGACTAGGCATAGGCATAAGGGGTCCAGAGACTTTGAATGCCTTTCACCCCTGTATAGACCTGTGTGGGCCCATTTCAACAGCATAGGCCCTCATTAGAACATCTTAGTCATCTAGTACTGCTCTAACAGAAATACCACAAGTGGATAGCTTCAACAAACAAATTTATTTTCTCACAGTCTAGTAGGCTACAAGTCTAAATTCAGGGTATCAGCTCCAGGGGAAGTCAGTCCTTGTTAGCTCTGGAGGAAGGTCGGCATCAATTTTCCCCTGGACTAGGCGCTTCTCTGTGCAGGCAAGTCGGGTCTAAAGGACTCACTTCCAGGCACTGCTTTCTTGGTGGTATGAGGTACCCCATTCTCTGCTTCCTTTTCCTTTTAATCTCTTGTAAGATAAAGGTGGTGCAGGCCACACCCAAGGGAAACTCCTTTTACATTGGGTCAGGGATGTGACCTTAGTAAGGGTGTTAAAATCCTACCCTAATCCTCTTTAACATAAAATTACAATCACAAAATG